AAGCTGCGTAAGACAGACGGAGAGACGGGCAGACAGACAGTTGAACACCTTCTCCCAGTGAGGCAGAGCGCATTTATGTTTAGCCATGGCCAGCGTACCACTTCGCACAGGGAACCTTGGGACAGCGCAGGACCCAGCCCCCATTTTCCCAGGGTGCTGTACGCAGGCAGAGCCCATACAGACACGCTCGTGATGCTCTCACTGCCCGTGCACCTCTCTCGGGGCCGCCTGGTGTGCCGGCGCCAGGCTGGTGGCTCCTGCAGCCTACGCTTGGCTCCAGGCAGGGCAGTGCAGGACGTGGCCGGGCACCACGGAGCAGCCAAGGCACCAGGCAGGCTTGAACCTGAGCAAGCAGCCAGGGCAGGCCTGGAGCACTGCTGAGCCCTGCTTTTCCTCTGCTGCACCTCCGTGTCCCCTCTCAATCCCTTTGAGGACCAGGGTGCCCCAAGCGAAGCCACCAGGGCCAGCCTTTACCTTCCCGACTTCCACCTCTCCGAGGCTGACGTGCTGTGAAAACCCCGGCGGGCGCCTGACCGCGAGCCCGGTGCTCCTCACAGCCTGTACCTGTCCCAAACCGCTCTGAGGAGCGGCTCCGCACCGCGCGCAAAAACACCTGCCGAGTCCCTAAAGCTCCTCGTCTGGGCTTAAGCTCACTCGCCTCCTTCTGTGCCACACCAGGTACGTGCACCTACAGAACAAACACCCGACAGAGCACTTTACACCCACTGCCTACCCCATTACATAATTTGAGGAAAAACCATGGTTGAATTCCTCTCAGCTGAGATCTCACCGTATGCCATTGCCACCTCTGACCCGTTCCTTTTCAAAGGCCACAGAGCAGGAAACAGAAACCAAGACCTGAACTTACTTCCCTGCTCGATGACTGGCAGAAGGACAAAATGTCCCCATCAACAACAGCTCAGTTCATCAAGATGCTCCTTATTTTCCTGTCCTTGGATGAGGGACACGTGCCTCTTGGCCAGAGCTCTGCCAAACGGCCAGTGGATGAGAACAGCACGACGTTGTGCTCTTAACCCCACCGTGGCTGATGACGAAGCCTACGCTAAGCACCAGCCCTGACAACAAGAAACAGGCTTGCCCGATTTCAGAGGCACTGGGCGCTGCAACATCCTCCAGGGCTCGGGTGCCACCGAAGGGGGCCTGGACCGCAGTGCGGGGCCTTGACCCCACACCTCCGGTGCTTCGCAGTCCCAGACGCAC